AAATGATGATGATAATGATTATGATGATGATAAAAGTGATGATGATAAACAGAGCAATGATGATGATGATGATGTTAATTGAAAGGATGGTGTTGATAAAATTTAAATTGACTGTGGCGAGTGAGATGATGATGATGATTGAATTAAAATGACGATGATGAAGAAGAAGAAGATGATGATGATGATGAAGAAGAACAGATGGAATGATGAAAAATGAGGTGAGTGCCAGCCAATGAATAATTGTCTCATTAATTTCTCACTCTCTCTCTCTCTCTCTCTCTCTCTCTCTCTCTCTAGTTTTTTTTATCTTTACTTATCTCTCTGCCAATAATTTTTTGGTTGATTTATTTTCTTATTTTTTAAAATTTGAATTCTTTCATATAATTTTTTTATTTCTCTCTTTCTCACTCTTTATTTCTTTCTATATTTCCCCTCTCTCTCTCTCTTTCTCTTTCTTTCTTTCTCTCGCTCTCTCTCTCTTCTTCTACTTGTTATCTCTCCTTTCCCCATACTTTTCTTTCTGTCAACATTTACTTCAAGAAGTTTTTCAAAAATTTACATGCAGTGGGCAAATAGATCGGCACTAGACAAACATACGCGTGCACACACACACGCACACACACGCACACACGCACACTCGTACACACACACACGCACACACACGCACACACACGCACACACGCGCACACACGCACACACACGCACACACACGCACGCACTTACAAACACGCAATCGTGTGCAAACAAGCTAACAATCAAGTTTGTTCACTTTCCAGTAAAACCACAAATGCAAATAAGACTTAATGTTAACAAACGCATGTATGGTTACATACACACGCACACGCACGCACACACGCGCACGTACTAACACACACTCATACATGTTCACAAACACCACATTAACCTTTTCAAAAACAAAGTATATATAGGGGGAGAAACTCTTATAACATGCCCATTTTTATTCATTCAAAACCCTTCAAATACCAAATCGTTTAAACACGTGAATCAGATATACCGCCACAGATAAACATTTCTATATAAATAAATATAGATACCGCATCTAAATACGCGCACATATTCACACACACACAGACACTCAGACACACGCACACAAGTACACACGCGCCCAAAAACCTTTGATTAAGAACTTAATCAGGGG